CTCCTCCCCTGGCTCCTCCCCCTCCCCTTTTTCCCCCTTGCACCCTCCCTCATCTGACCCCTCCCCTCCCACCTTCTCCCCTTGCCCCTCCCCCGTCCTCTCCCACACCCCTCCCCCATTCTGTCCCCTCCTAAGTCCTCCCCTGGCTCCTCTCCCCCTTCTTCCCCCCTCCCCCCTCCTTGTCCTCCCCCTCCACCTCCAGCCAGAGCAGCAGCCTCAATGACGTCACCTGACGCACACCAGGCCACCCACAGCCTTTCCTTATGGGGCACAAAGATGCAAATGAAGGAGCCATGTGACCCAAGACTGGCCAATCAGAGCCTTGTACCCAGGCTATCCAGATTGCCTCCTGGATGTCACGTGACCTAAGACTGGCCAATGAGCATGAGCTCAGAGACAGGCTGTAATTAAGCCCAGGGAATTGGCTGGTGTTGCTGAGCTCGAGAGGGAGCCTGAAGCTGCTGGGGCGGCGCGTGCCCTGGGCGGCAGCTGTGCAGGGACGAAGCCCGCCCCGCCAAGCCCCAGGAGCAGCAGGAGTCCCTGGATCCAGCCATGCCTGAAGTTAGCTTGACCTCCTGATGTTAAGTTCCGGGCACTAAAACCAGTCCCCCCCCCCGTTTTGTTGTCTTTATTGTGGTCCCTCGCATCCCCCAAATTCTAAAGGAGGTGAGAGACCACTGCGCTGAGCAGGACGGTCAGGACCTGTGGCAGGCTGGTCGCCTTACAGTTGGAGGGACAGGACTAGATTCTGAGCACACCCATGAAGCTGGAACCACGGCGTGGTGTCGGAGTGTCGCCGCGTAACGGGCAGTGATGAGGGGCTGGTCCTTCTGCTGGACTGCAGGTGGACACGCAGGTCTCTGATTCCTGGTGTCTGGATGCGGGCCTGGCACACAGTAGCTGCTCAATAAATGCCTGTCGTGCTCTGGGAAAGAAGGCAGCAGCTCCCACGCCGCCTCTTTGTCCGTGGACTCCTCCGGGTTTCCCCCTGGGAACAGGGCGCCTGGGTGTCCCTGCCAGGGATGGGCTCCCGGCGCTGCCAAGGCCCCAGTCGCAGATGGGCGGGTCCCTCTGAGAAGGGGCAGGGCTTGCGGAGAGCCTGGGCAGCCCCCGGGAAGCCCGAGGTCAGCACCGCGTGGTCCGCTGGGCAGTGGCCGGGAAAGCCGGGCGGGGGCTTCCTCCGTTTCCCGCCGCTGGGTGGACCCGTGGGTGGGAGGGCACACCCACCAAGGCCCCGCTGTACCCTTCGGGGTTTTTTGCGGTGCTGGGAGGGGACTGGGGCCTCACGCTGCCAGGCCAGCGCTGACCACTGGGCGCACGGAGCCTGTGCGTGGCTTTGTGCTGCAGGTAAGTCACCTGGCAGACCCCGGCTCCGCTGTGGGGTGAGGTGACCCTGCAGACCCGCCCTGCGGCCTGGGCGTCCTCCTCCGCCGGCTGGCCTCTGCCCGGGAGAGGCCGACTGGAACCATGGCGGCTGTGTGTCCCTGGGGAGCCCGTGTTCCAGGGCCTGATGCCTCAGCGACTGGGTGAAAACCAGAGACCAAGAGAGCCTCAAGTCGCCTGTTCCCCATCCTGTCCCATCCATCCCTGTCCCAGACCCGGAGGAAGGTGACGGGACAGACGGGGAGGCTCTGCCACCAAGCCACGCCCAGCCCTGCTCCTTTCTTATTTTGAAACAGGGTCTCGCTAAGTTGCTGAGGCTGGCCTTGAACATGCCATCCTCCTGCCTCAGCCTCCCCAGCCGCTGGGACGACAGGTGGACGTGCAGTAGGGACTCAGGGAGCTCTTAGTAACTTGCGTTCTGAAGCTCTGGGGTGGGGGAGGCTGCCTCCCGCAGCAGCTCACCTTCAACAGCCCCTCACAGGTGGCCAGGGCTCCCGCATGGGGCTAAGGGCTGGGAGGCCCTGTGAACAGGGTCAGGGCAGGCAGGTCCCGTGGGTGTTTAAAATGATGTTGTTTCAGTCATCCCAGCGACTCAGGAGGCTGAGACAGGAGGGTCTCAAGTTCAAGGTCAGCCTGGGCCATTTAATGAAACCCTTTCAAGTTAAAAAATAATAATAATTGAAGAGGCTGAGGGTGTAGCTCAGTGGCAAAGCGCTTGCCTAGCACCCGTCAGGCCCTGGGTCTGATTCCCAGCACCACGTGCGAATGAGTAAATAAGTAACCTAAAGGTCCATCTACCTAGACACACACACACACACACACACACACACCAAAAATAAACAGGGGCCAGGTGTGGGCGCATCCCAGTGGCTCAGAGTCTAAGGTAGGAGGATGGAGAGCTCAAACCAGCCTCCGCAACAGCAAGGTGCTAAGCCACTGAGTGCGACTCCGTCTCCAAATACAATGCACAACGGGGCTGGGTGTGGCTCAGTGGTCGAGGGCCCCTGAGTTCAATCCCCAGAACCAAAAAAATAAATAGGGGCTGGGGACGCAGCTCAGTTGGTAGAGCGCTCGTCCCGCACGCGCAAGGCCCTGGGTTCCGTCCCTAGCGTGGGTGGATGGGTGGGTGGGTGAGTGGATAGATGGATCAGCCGGGTGGTAAAGAAGTGTCTTGTGTCATGCAAGGCAGGTGCCTGCAGCGCCAACCAGGGAGGGTGAGACAGGATTTGAGATTTGAAATGTTCTGACTCAGTTGCCCAGGCTGACCTTGGACTGGAGGCCCCCCTGCCCCAGCCTCCTGAGCCATCCTGCCCGAATGAAATAGCCACGACTCTTCAGCCCAGGAGTCGGAGAGCAGACCGAGCAGCACAGACAGATCCCGTGTCAAAAAATAATTAAAAACCAAAAGGAGGGGCTGGGGATGTGGCTCGAGCGGTGGCACGCTCGCCTGGCATGCGTGCGGCCCGGGTTCGAGCCTCAGCACCACATACCAACAAAGATGCTGTGTCCGCTGAGAACTAAAAATAAATATTAAAAAAAAGAACCTAAAAGGCTTTTTTTTTTTTTTTTTTTTTTACTTTTAAATTTGTTTTTCAAGCCGGGCACATGGCCAGGCCTGTGATCCCGGCAACTCAGGAGGCTGAGACTGAAGCAGGAGGATCCTAAGCTTGAGGCCAGCCTCAGGAGCTTAGTGAGGCCTGGTCTCCAAATAAAAAAAAAAGGGCCGGTGCAGTGCAGCTCGGGAGGCTGAGGCAGGAGGATCTTGAGTTCAAAGCCAGCCTCAGCAACAGCGAGGCACTAAGCACCCCAGGGAGACCCTGTCTCTAAGTAAAATACAAACTGGGGCTGGGTGTGGCTCAGTGGCCGAGTGTCCCTGGGTTCAGACCTCAATACCCAAATAAGAATCAGCTGCTAAGCAGATGCCCTTCAGGCCTGGCGGACGGCTCTGGTCTCGGCTGTGCGCACAGGGGCCTGGGCTCCAGCCGCCGGCACATGGATTAATCAGTAAAACTAAAGAGTCAGTGAGGTGGACGGAGCAGGTGCTGGGGGGACACAGGGGAGCTGGCCACCTCCTGCCCACGCCACAGAGGGACTGAGAGAACCGGGCACCTCATGGGGGGAGGACCCTGAGGTGCTGACCAGGTCACCTGCCGCTAGGTCACCCGGCCAGGTGTCTGACGCCAGAGGCTCCAACCCAGAGCTGACCGCAGGGGCCGCCTGCATGGCCGGAAGGCAGCCACCTGCTTCCTGGGGCTCCGAGTAACGGCCACCCGGCCACCCATCACTAGGGCCCATCTGTAACCCGAGGGCCCTAGGTGTGGCCCTGAGAGCCTGGTGGCCAGGGAAGGCCTCGATGTGGACTGTGGGGCCCGAGCAGCCGGGGACGGTGGTGCGTGGGGCAAGTGGCTCCACGCGGGGGGCAGTTTGTGTCCCCCATTGTCCCTTCTGCCCAACACTCTCCCTGCAGGGCCTCGGCTGGCCTCCCCCCACACAACCAGAGTCTCTGCCAGCGGCTCTGGTCACTCCTGATGCCACCAGCCAGCGCACCTCGGCTGGGGTGGCTCTGACCCAGGCACTCGTCGGGGACGTCTGTGGTCGTCACACCTCTGGGGAGTGGTGAGCACTGTGTGGAGGTCAGCTCTCGGCTCCAGGCCCGCAGCCCCAGGACCCGGCACCAGGGAATGACCCCAGGAGCCTCAGCTCTGCGCACGCCCCAGCGCCCCCAGGAGAAGCCAGGTGTGCGGCCAGCGCGTGTCCCCTCGCTCCCTGGGGGCAGGAGCCGCCTGGCCCAGCCTGACCCCTGGCCTGCCACCTCCGCTGTGTGACTCTGGCCAGGTCCACGCACCTCTCTGGCCAGGTCTCAGCAGACACGAGGACACCCGGAGCCCGGGGCCAGGAGAGACCCAGACCCTCAGTGGGTCCCGGTGCTGCGCCCCTCCACCGGCTGAAGAAGCCTTTCCCCTGGAGAAACCTCCGACCCACAGGGACGCCACTCCACGGGCCCCGCCCTCACACGGGCCCACGCCGACCCCCGGTGTCTCCCACCCATGTGCGGATGCCCGAGCTCCAGTCCAGGTGGCTGCCCAAGAGAAGGGCCTGTCCAGCGCCCAGAGGGCTGGGTGGGCGCTGCATGCGCACCCCTAGAATGCAGTCCCCGCCAGAGAAGGCCCTGCCCCTGTGCGCGCCCCTGACCGGCTCTCTCCTCCTCTTCTGCCGGAGCTGGGGGTCGAACCCGGACCCCCCCCAGGCCAGCTCCCACGTCCTCCTAAAGGCAGGCAGGGTCTCAGGAGCTGCCCGGTCCAGCCTGGGGCTTTTACTCCTGCTCAGCGGCTGAGTGACAGGACTGTGCCACCACACCCAGCAGCGCTCCTCTAAGCAGACGCCCCCATCTTCACTCTGTCCCCAAACTCTGGAGCCCATCCTGACTGGGACTCCGGTGAGACCGTGGGGTCTGCGATTCGGAACACACTGGAGGAGGTCAGCCGCCTGCTCTGCTCCTCAAGGCTGGGCCCAGCCTGACCCGTGTCGCCCGCCAGCTGACCTGGCCTGCCCCACTGACCCTGTTCTGGATTTAGCAGGCGGATACTCGCTGCCCTTTCTTTTAGATGGTCTCATGACGTTGCCCAGACTGGACTCAGATGGATTCCTGAGGTCCTCTGGCCGCCCACCTCTGCCTGACGGTGGCTGAGACCACAGACCTGGTTGAGAAGTGATGGTCTTGAGCCAGTCGTGGTGGGTGACGCACACCTGCCACCCCAGCGACTCGGACACGGAGGCGGGAGGACTGCAAGTGGACTGCAAGGCCATCCGCAGTGCGTCACCGAGGCCCACAGCAGCCGAATGAGACCGTCTCAACTCAGTTGGAAAAGAGAATAAGTCCGTGGCGTCTGCAGGGGACCGGATGGAGCTGGGGAATAGCAGGCTCAGGAAGCGAACCAGTCCCAGAACAAGGCCGAAGTTCTCTCTGTTCAGTGGACGCGGATCCATAACGGGGGATAGGTAAATGGTGGGATGAGACGGTCATCACTGCCCTAGGTACACGGATGACCGCGCGCACGGTGCAGCTCTGCGATGCGCACCACCAGAGAAGCGAAGGCTGTGCTCCCCGGGTGCGCCATGAATCGAGATGCACTCTGCTGTCGTGTGTAACTAATCGGGAAAAAGAGACCCTGACTCAAAAAACAAATCACCATCGAGGGCTGGGGTGCAGCTCTTTGGTAGCACGCCTGGGTTCAACTCCCAGGACCGAGAGAGAAAGCCAGGGCCAGGCGGTGGCCACGATCGTCATCCCAGCGGCTCCGGAGGCTGAGGCCGGAGGATCGAGAATTCAAAGCCAGCCTCAGCAAATGTGAGGCGCTAAGCAATCAGTGAGACCTGACTCTAGGTAAAATACAAAATAGGGCTGGGGTGTGGCTCAGTGGCCGAGTGCCCCTGAGCTCAGTCCCCCCACCCCACCCAGGCAAAAAAAGAAAGCCAGCCAGCCAAGATGATGTAAGGCCTGGTGTGATGGCCTCACGGGTCATCCCCGCCATTCTGGAGGCCAGACTGGGCAGCTTAGTGAGACCCTGCCTCAAAATACGGACTGGGGTTGTAGCTCAGTGGTAGAGCACTTGCCTAGCATGTGCGAGGCACTGGGTTTGATCCTGAACACCACATAAAAATAAGTAAAATAAAGATCTCGTGTCTGCCTGCAACCAAAAACACCCAAATCTAAAAAAAAAATTAAAAAAATTAAAAATAGGGGTGAAGGTAGCTCAGTTGCAGAAAAGCTTGCCTAGCGTAGGGGAGGCCCTGGGTTCATCCCCAGCACCGGGAAAACACGCCTGTGCTGTCTCCCAGTGTTATCTGCCTTCATCACTGCGGACGGCTTGGATGAGCTCAGCAGCAGCGGCCTGCTCAGCTGGGACCAGGGCTCGTCCCCTGTGCACCGGGAACAGGAAGGCCCAAAGAAGTTACAATCTTCAGGGAGCAGGCTGCGCTGCCCAGGAGGACCATCAAGTAACACCTTTGTTTCTATCACGTCTTTGAGGCCCACTCTGCACAAGGGAAATTATTCTTTCAAAACTGGAGCCAGATCATGGTCCTCCTGGGCCCACGGCTCCATGACTTGACCCCCCTCAAGGTGACAGCCTCCGTCTAGCTGGGCTTGGTGAGGCACAGCCGTCACCCCAGTGACTGGGGAGGCTGAAGCAGGAGGATTTCAAGTTTGAGGCCAGCCTGGGCAAGTTAGCAAGGCCCCCTAAGCAAATTGGCATAAACACGTCTCAAAATTTAAAAAAAAAAAATTAAAGGGCTGGGGCTGTGGCTCAGTGGTAAAGTGCCCCTGGGTTCAATCCCTAGGACGGAAATCGGAGATAAGCCTAGATCCTGTCTGAGGTCCTGCGTTCCACCCCTGTTCCACCCCCGGGAGGCACCAGGGCTGGGCCTGTCATCCCAGCAACTCTGCAAGCTGAGGCAGGTTTTGAGGCCAGCCTGAGCTCCTGAGACCCTCTCTCAAAATAAAGAAGGGCTGCAGGTGCAGCTCAGGCTCAGAGCACCCCTGGGTCCAGTCCCCCGACCCCCATAGAGAAAGGAAAGAATTGATTTGCAGGGCCCGGTCCGAAACAAAACCAGGAGGCCCCTTGTTCAAATCCGATTTAAGAATTTAAACCTCACGGCAGAGCCTTTCAGCTAGGCCCTCCGCGAGCAGGCGCGGGAGGCAGCAGCCCTGGCTGGACCTCTCCCCAGGCTGCCTATTCTCCAGGGGCTTTGCATTTGCCTTTCCGGCCTCTTGACAGTGTCCTGGTAACACAGCTCCACCCTGTGCATGGAGGGGGCGCCCCTCACTGCCGTCAGGGCGTCCTCTTCGTGCCAGGCCCTCTCTGACACCCCCGTCCTGCACCCTGTTTAAAGTAGCGCCTCCTGTTTTCCTCCTGGCTCTCACCACTGCTGACCCTCCTGGGATTTGGCTCCTGTGCTTTGTCTCTGATGTATCTCGGCCTCTACCAAGCCAGGGACTGTGCACCCCGCCCCCACCCAGACCCTGAGTCCTGGAGCACAGCCTGGCACACAGTAGGCGCTCAAAAAATGTGTCCTGAAGGCGTGGCTCCTGTGAGGCAGGACGTATACCCGCTGCCTGTATGCCCACAGAAGAGGAAACTGAGGCTCAGAGAGGACAGCCGCCCAGCTAGAGTCAAGGTCACCGAGCACGTCCGTGGCACGCGTCCAGGTCGCGCCATGACGGAGCCGGCGGCTTGGCGGCGGGCGAGCGGGCCCCTTTCTTTGACAGATGGGGAAACCGAGGCCCGGCCGCCGGCCAGGGCCCCCCA